ATCAACCATTTAAGCACAATTATCCCATCAAAAATTTGAATTTTAAAGCATAAATGTGGGCATAAATATGCACTCATCAGCGAACCCTAGGGCGTAAAAAGAATGAAGTGGCCCGAAATCCCGCTTAAGCCCCAAACTTAAAACCCACTATGTAGTCACGCCGCCCGGGCGCCTCTCAGGGGAAGCTCAAGCGGCGAGCGACACTATTCACCCTTAGCTTTTTGGCTTGTTTTGGGTATTCCTGGCCTTGGGTTCTCAGATTCAACTTCGATTTTTCCAGTTTCTTTTCCCTAGCCCTCACAACACACTCAAATCAAACATTTACTCTCTCTTTACCCCTCAAACAATTAGTAATTACAGACTAAGCACACTGAAATAAAAAAAGCACAAAACAAAAAAAATAAAATTCAAAAATCCAAGCTAAAGAACAAAATAAAAGTTTGTAAAACACGGAGTTGCCTCCCAATAAGCGCTTCTTTAACGTCACTAGCTTGACCCAATAGGCTAATGTCACATCTTTGATCTTGGTGTTGTCTTTTTCATCTCTACACCAACAGTTCTTCAGTAACTTCCTATTCACCTTTTTTATTCTCCTGGAAATTAGAGATTCAATATCTATCAGTCCATCAATTCTGAGTTCTTTCACAATCCACAGCTTTTTTTGAAACTCACTGGAATTCCGGGTCTAAGTTCTTGATAATTTTCTAGTGAGTCTTGGCGAACATTTTCTCCTTTGCTGTCTTTTTCTTCTTCTTTTACGTGTGACAGAAAACTCTTTTTACCTTTCTTGCCTGGCTTTGCAGCTTTAGTCCTAATCTTCGGTACATCTTCACATGCAGCTTTGAGACTAGTCTTTTTCACCTAGATTTGCTGTTCAACATTGAAGACATTGAAAATTACCTCTTCTTCTTGGTTTTTGAGTGCTATAGTTTCATCATCAACATTGATGATCACCTTGGCCGTTTTCATGAAAGGCCTACCAAAAATAATAGGGATCTCCAAATCTTCCTCCATCTCCATTACAACAAAGTCCACCAAGAATCTCAGATTGCCAGTTTGTACCATCACATTCTCCACCACACCATAGGGCTTTTTGGTGGATCCATCCGCCATAAACAGAGTCATCTTTGCAGGCTGGACTTCAAGACCGCCAATATTTTCAAGAACAGATAAGGGCATGAAATTGATATTGGACCCTAAATCAATTAGGGCTTTCCCTATTTTATGGCCATTGATAGTGCAAGGAATGGTGAAACTTCCTGGGTCTTTAACCTTAGGAGGAGGTGCCTTCTACAAGATTACAATGCACTCTCCCTGTACCTCAATTGTTTCCTCCTCTAGATATTTCTTTCTTTTGAGGAGTTTCTTCAAAAACTTAGCATATTCAGGAATTTGTTGCAATGCCTCAGTCACACGAATTTTAATCCCCAATTTTCTGAAAATTTCTTCAAAACACCCTAATTGCATCTCTTTTTCTTTTCTTGAACACTCTTTAGTGTGATGAAGATTTTTCTAAATTTTTTCTTTTTTTTTCTCTCACTCTCTTCTTTTTCTTTTCTCTTTTCTTTTTCAACCTTTTCTTTTTCTTTTCTCTCTTCTTTTTCTTCTCTCTCTTTTAACTCAACTTTTTCTTTTCTCTCTTTTTCTTTCTCTTTTTCCCTCTTATTTTCTATGCTCACAATAACTTTGCATTCTTCCTTGGGGTTAACTTCAGTATTAGCCCCAAAACTATTGATAGGTATCTCTTCCAACTTCTTGGCTGTTTGACCAACCTGCATCTCCAGATTCCTTATAGAAGCTTCAGTGCTTTTCTAGGTGGAAAGAGTTGCCTGCATGAACTGTTGGAGAGTCTCCTCAACCTTTGTAGTTCTGTCAGCTAGAGAGGGTTGTTGTTGCCACTATTGTTGTTGTTGTGGTGGTCTATTCAATTATCCACCAGTTTGCCGAAACTGACTTTGTCCATTGCTAGGATGAGATTTCCACCCTTGATTGTAATTGTTGGGACGAAACTGGTTGCCCATGTAATTAACTTCTTCATTGAGATTCTCAAGCACAACACATTGACCATTAATATGATCACCACCGCATAGTTCACAAAGTTGTTGTTGAACCTGTAAGACATTCTGGCACTCCCTTGGTGGCTGAGAAAGCTTCTTTGTCAAGACTTCTAGTTGTTGAGTTATAATCTTATTTTGAGCAAGCAAGGCATCATAAGACTGTAACTATAGAACTCCCTTATATTGTGATGGATCTCCTCTTTCACTGTGCATCTCATTATCATTGGTAGCCATGTTGGCAATCATTCATATGCTTCCTCTGGAGTCTTATATTTGATATTACCTCTAGTTGAGGCATTAAGCATCAAGCATCAAGCATCAATTTAGTTTGTGAACCAAGACCTCCAAGGAAAAGAATGACTAGCTTTGCTTCATCAAAACCATTAGTATGTGTCTTTCTTAGCAAGCTCTTGTATCTATCTCATGCTTGCCCCAAGGTTTCCTCCATGCCTTGCCAGAAAGAAGAGATTTCCTGCTTCCCTTTGTTGATCTTTGATTGTGGGAAGTATTTGTTTAAGAACTTTGCGACCACATCTTCCCACTCAGTCAAGCTATTTTTAGGAAAAGAGTTCAACCACAATTTAACATTGCCTCCCAATGAGAAAGGAAACAAGCTCAGTTTAATAGCATCATCTGGAACTCCATTCAGCTTCATAATATTACAGATCTCATTAAAGGTTGTCAGATGCTCATACTTCTCTTCACTGGATGGATCAATGCAGGCTTCATCTCCATACTTGCGACATTGACCCTCGGCCTTGCAATGCTGTTAAAATGGAGAGGGCCAACAACTATTGCATAATCTGCCAAAGTACGTCTACCATCATAGTTGTCCATGCTTCTGATAACAGTTGAAAAACTGTTATTTTCATGCTTAAATTGATACTAAAAGCAACCTTTAACACTTAGAAACTAGCTTGAATCATGCTTTTATTCGTATTTTCATAAATAAGAGAGCTGGACAGGTTTATGCTTGATTTCAGTGTTTTTGTGCAGGTTTTAAGGTGAATTTAGTGAAATAAGTGAAGAAGGAGAGAGATGGAATCAGAAAAGACA